GGCGCGCCGCCCCCCCCCCCCCCCCCCCCATGAATATTTAGGTACAGGCTCTACCGATTTTTCGGCGCCATAGTACCTACTGTCCTCCTGCTACCGATATTATTCAGACGGTTATTTGTATAAACTGTGGGTGCGAAACTTGCCTTGTCGCTCTAATGGAAGAACATTAAGGGTGCTGAAGGGAATATCTGGACCTGACAGAGAGGAAGTGATCGGGGGATAGAGAAAATTACCTAATGATCTTCAGATATGTTCTTTTCGCCAAATATTATTGTGGGCATTGGCGATCTGCTTAGGAGGATGGGATGTAAAGACTTAAGGGAGATAATAATGAACGGTATGGACTTTCTCAGTGTTACGTTGACCTCTTATAACAAATTTACACGGGGGTCGCATATCTTACCTGATAATTCGTTATTTACAGAGTATTATAACTCTAGCATTAACAGAAATAAAGAAGCAGTATTTTGTGGCCTCAGATCGGAAGTGGAGACAGGTTACTTGGTTTCCTGTTTGAAGATTATGACATCTTGTAAATAGGAAGTTCTCGGATTGAATCCGTAAGTGGTTTTTAACTTCCTGTTTCATTCCCGGCTCTTCGCAATCAGAAAAGATTAATATGTACTAGCTCATTGTATCAAAGTTATTGAGAAGCTAATAATTGCTCAGCTAGTCAAGAAATTTGCGGTGTTTGGATATACAGTATAAGGTCACCATTGGACACCATCCTGAGCCTAACCTAACTCAACTACCGCTATCTTTTGGAATTTTACAATTTAAATTTTATGTACATTTTTCGTATCTACCGTGCACGCTACATGTCCCTCCCACCTCATCCTTTCTCAATCCTGTCATCTTAATAATGTTTGATGAAGAGGTAAAAATATGATGCTCCCCATAATGTAATTTTATTGACAGTAAACTCCAACTGTAAATAACTATCGTCAGTCCGAAATTCAGTCTCTGTCGTAAAAAAAAGAATTAAAAGCCTATTTTAGGATATCTAAGTTGTCCAGCTTCTAGTCGAATGAGAACTGTGGATCTACGACAGAGATTCGAACCCGAATCATTCTGAGTACGGAGTAGTAATGCTAATAACTACCCTTTGTTGAAACCAAAGAAAGAAAAAAGCCGGGGAGAAACAACACTAGAGCCAAATGGGGGAAATTTGTAATGAATGACGTCTACGAGGTGAAGTAAGAGACTTGAAGGAAGCCTCATTTCGCTCACGAGGAAAAGACTTGGGGAAGGAAGTTGCAGTGTTCGGTTTAAATAGTCGGCATTCACGTCAGCACAGCGCTGTGGTGAAAATGGTATTGTCGAGAAGAGCTTTTAGCCGCTTGATGTGCTTGCTGGGTTCTTTCGCCTTCGGATACCGCCGCTACTTTGAGGACAGGGACTGTGAGTACAGGCACACGAGATGAAGACCGGCATCGCATTCTTCACCGCTGAGATCGTCAGGCCGTACCAACAGCTGGTTCCCAGCTTCACGCAAATCATTATTTCTTACAGCTGTTGTTCATTGTAAATCTTCCTTTCTGTGTCAAAACATTCAGACCGAAATTATTCTGCTTTCTCAGAAATGACACATCGCAAAACGTTTTAATTTTATATATAATTTATAAATTGTCTTCGAAATATTTATCGTCATTTAACGAAATGCAAGCAAATATAACATCTGGCTTCCAAATGCTTTTTCTCACGGGGAATACATGCTATCTTTCTCATGCGTGTTGCATGTCCCGCCTAGTCTAACCTTCTTTATTTAATCACCGAATAGTTTTTGGTGAAGAGTACTAATAATGCGTTTTGTCAGCCTTTAGTTTCATATTCTCCTTAGCTTCGTTCTCAAACTGTGTAGGATTTGAGGTTTTACGGCGGTGAGTCCGAAGATGACTGTCTTCTGGTTTGTAGCGACGTGTTGTGTGTTTGAAGTTTTCCATCGTTTTAAGATCCTTGCTGTCTCCATCATCATGGCGATGAGACCTCTCAAACGTTGGTTAACTTCTACTAGAGAACACTTCACTACAACCCAGAAGAATCATCGTCATTCTCAGTTTATGTTATTCGTCATGGTGAGAGACCAATCAAATCTAAAACTTCTTGACGATGGTGAAGAGTCATTTGAATAAAAAATTTCTTGGATATTATCCATCGTCTAGTAAAATATAAAATGTAAAACGTAAAACGACGTTTCGGAGATGGGACTCTATCTCCGTCTTTAGGTTCCTACACAGTTGGGCCCACTAGATAGAGCTAATCCCTATCTCCGAAACGTTGTTTTACGTTTTATATTTTACTAGACGATGGATAATATTCAAGTGAGAGACCAAGTTTCACACTTGTATAAAGCAACAGGAAAAATTATAAGTTCGTTTACCAGTTTAATCTCGCCCTTGCCTGAGTCTTTCCGAAAGAGTCCTTTCAATTTCGAGGGCATTTGTGGTATTTATTAGCATGCTAGTTTTAAGATGTGGTTTTGCTGTAACTTACGTTACTTTGGTGACAGCCCTCAGGTATAGACACTGTTTCTTGGAAGGGCTGCAATGTGTGGACTTGCCACGGTGTCCTCCAATCGCTCGAGCTGTGTACCAGAATCCTACACTTCCTTTCGCGCTGATACAACTTAGAGAGTATATTTGTGGTCTGAACCGTGGGACTGTTCAAGTGTGTTGCCATAGCAACTCTGTAATTTACCCCACGCCCAAACCACGAGATAAAGAAATGCTGCCGGACACTTCCATTATTAGCCACCCAAACTTCAACCTGATCAACAGGAACTGTGGCTTAGGACTCACAGACCGCATTGTGGGCGGTATGAGCGCACTTCCCGGAGAGTTCCCTTGGTTGGTGGCTCTTCAGTACGAAGGTAAGTGCAGATGCTATCAGGATATGTTACAAAGTGGATATTTAGTCAAAGTCGATAAGCATATATTGGACCCACCCCTAGAACTGATATGCCTACGTCATGGAATTAAATTCGTTGTTGCTGGGTTTCAGAATTTACCTAGATAGATTAAGGAAAACCACTAGAAACGTCAGTCAGGATAACCATTATCCCGGTCTTGATTCGAAAAGGCTACTGCACTGTTAGTCGTTAGGGTTTTATTCTTTGGTTATTCAACAACGCTTTTATAGTTGCATTGGTTAAATGGCAGCATGATTATGAACGAAGAATGTAAAATTACGTGGAAGTAAGCAGTCGCGGCGTATTATACGACATCCCAGCATTAGCCCTGCAATTCTGAGTAAGACCACGAAAATTCCCATTAAATATAGTCTGTCTCCAGGTTGAGATTCGAACCCGCCACCTCTTGAGCACGAGTACGATTACTGACCACTTATCCGCGACTTTTCGGTGTCATCAACACATTCTATACGGTGACACGAGCTAAGTGGCAAATCTTCCGGTCCGGTCGCTAGGAGGCGGAGTGGACTTCAGTTGATATAGACACGGTGACGAAGAGAAATCTGCTCTAGCTGGAAATATAACGCCGTTTGTCCAACCTGTACTCAATCGCTCTGTTTCTTTTTTCTCTTAGAGTAACTGATAGAAGCTAAAATGCCTAAGATCAGCGCACCGACGTAATGTCCGTGGATTCTAGACCTCGGTGAGTAGCTGACCTCTGACCTGAAGTTGCGCTATGCTTTCAGTGTTCGGCGAGCTGCAGTATCTGTGTGGAGGTACTCTCATCTCGGATTCGTACGTCCTGACAGCAGCGCACTGCATCGCACCCGCAATCAACAACTCTTCACTGAAACTGTGAGCTCGAAATATTAGAAACTGTACTATAACTTAAGACACGTGGTAAAAATTAATGTCTGTCCCCTTAATTTGGGGTAAGGAAGAGATGCCACAATAATGGAAGGAATCCATAATTATTTATATTTATAAGAAGGGGACAAGACTCTTGTATGTTTGTTCTCAAATTGTGTGTTATATTAAACTTCTCAGGCCTTGTGTTATTAACAAATTGATTACTCATTTGTGAAACAGTGACAAAATGGAAAGTAAGAACCAAGAATTTCTGTTACTATTTTCACGTGATCTTTGTACTTTTATTGTTAAAAAGACCATAATTTCCTGAAACCTGCTAATTTCTTGCATCTGAAGTGTTAAGAAACAACAGAAAACTTCATACTGGGTATTTATCTGCTTAAATATTTGTTGCACACAAAAAAAGAATTTTAGATGCACTTTTTAGAATTCCAAGACCAAAATACTTTATTCTTGTAACAGATGAAGACTTCCTATAAATTATATTAAAATTGTATTTTAGAGCGAATAATGCCAATGGTTTATATATGTGTGTGTTTTTGGGATTGGTCAGGGTTAGTTTGCGGCTGGGAGGATATAACTTGAGCAGTGAAGAAGATTGCTTCCCAGACAACAGTAATGACCCATGCCTAGGCCCTCCTAGAGACTATGTCCCTTCTGAACTTGTGGTTCACTCTGGGTTCAACCCAAACGACAAAACAAAGTTCAGGAACGACGTCGCACTCATCAGGCTGCAGACTAAAGTGGAGCTCTCAGGTACAGACATGAACATAAAAACTAGAGTGCAGTTCCCAGTATGCACAGGGACAGTATTGAATAGCTGTGGGATTTGATCCACAGACATTCTGAATGTGAATAAGATGTGCTTTGTGCTCAGAAACTTCATTATTTTATGCTTTTAGAGATAGGTGCTTTAGGCTTCTTATGCGTGCATGAAGTTCTTTCTATAGGCTGGTGCTCGGCCTACAACAGAAACCCGAAATTGGCGAATCAGCGGCAGAAAACTGAATAATGTACATGTGCACTCATATACCAAACCATCAGAATATTAAAGAATTGTACAGGTTACCTAAGTAGATATCAGGTGTTTCTGGGCTTCAAATCACTCTTTACATTTTTTAAAAAATTTCTTATTTGCATATGCTAAATAAACTTAATGCTTAAATAACTGTTTACACATTCAATAATAAACCCCTTAGGCCTACGTATTTTAAAACATCCACATCAGAATGTTTGTTAAAGATGAATCTGGTCAACACGAGGTTTTACGTGTTTAGATGATAAGTTGAGACTGAAAGCATTACCCTACACTTCTATGACTGGCCATTGCAATATACGTTCCTTTCAGAATACATCAGTCCTGTGTGTTTACCAGTTCCTGGCCGGCTGACTACAAAAAAAGGCATTTTATCTGGCCTTAATCTTACTGTTGCCGGATGGGGAATGACAGAACACAGTATGTATGATCTTTTGTGACTAATTCTGCGAAGAAGAGTCCAAGTTGAGAAGCTGGTCAAGAAATTGTCTTAAAATGCATTCTGAACTTCGATTACCATGTTCACAGGAACCCTTCACTGACCTTATATTCAGCCAAATCAATTTATTTCACCCTCACTCCATATATTTGTAAGATCTATTTTAAAATTATCTTCCCACTTACACATACGTCTTCCATTTCTCTCAAGATATCCATTTAAAATGGAGTATACATTTCATGTCCTGCCATATCATCAAACCTGATTTTATCACCTTAATATGATTACAATTTGTGACTACTACAAATTATTAAATTATGAATTTCCTTCATTAGTTATTACTTGCACTCTCTTAGATCAAAAAATTGCCCTCATTGAATAAATTACACTAATTAGAACTGCATTTAACTGTCTCTGAATTCAAATTTATTTTAAAAATATGGAAGTGTGTGAAAATACTATAAATAATAATCATTTCACTTTCAACAGAACACTACTAATTGCTGGCAACAGTGCTTATTTATTATAAAGAAAAACTCGTTTAGCTCAAAGAGGACTGAAAATTAATGTCAAACTATGATGTGTTACCCCCAAATTATTGATTAGCCTTTTCTTAATCAGCTATTCTAGTTGACTGCCGTGTTTATGTAAATTAAGAACGTCTGTGATACTTTTTTTTATTGAAGTCCATCAAACACCAGTTCAGAAATATCCAAGTTGTTGACCCAGCATCATCTGGCAGAAAACACCGATAGCAGTCAGTAAAAACACAACTTTGTCAATCAGTGTGAGCAAAGTATTCACCTTCTTATGAGGATGTACAAAGCAAAGCTATAGATAAATTTTGTGTACACTGAATCTTGTCCACTTCTCTTTCCTTAGGTCAGATGAGTAATGTTATAATGAAAGTTCGTGTGCCCTATTTGGACCCAGAGATATGCAAATACAACTTGCGGGGACGACTGGTACTCAAAGGACAGCTATGTGCAGGGGGCAAGCCCAAAATGAATGCATGTAATGGGGACAGTGGTGGCCCTCTCATAGCCAGTATTTTAAGCAGTAGCGGCACGAACATCTGCTACCAAGTTGGTATTGTGTCTATTGGCTTTGGATCATGTATCTCATCAATGCCGTCTATCTATACGGACGTGGAAGACTTCATACCCTGGATACTGGACCATATACGTGATTAGGGAAAGCTGTAGTTTCTGAGTTCCTGTAGGTATAAAGAATGATCCAGGGGTTTTGATGGAAAGAAACATGAAATATTTCACAGTATTATATTATCTCAATACAAAATGACAAAAAACTAGTGACATGGATATTATTGCAATGTTTCTTCCTTAATAATGTTATTTTTATACTTTATTCAGTTTGCATGATTTGCAATTTAACTTGCTCCCTCTTTACCACCAGTGAAATGATTTGTGAAACATACTGTACAGGTTCTGCTGTGGAGACATAGGTCAGATTAAGTTGGTAGTAAAACTGAGCAAAGATTTTAGATGGAGGTGAGTGATAAGATTAATGCTATGACCTTATCATCCATATATGTATTACAGTGTGCATACAAGAGTGCTATTCACAGTACATTTAACGAATATGCTTAGTATTACGTAGGCAAAATAGCGTATTGCAGGTGACCCACTAACCAACCCTAACCTAGACAAACTAATATCAGGGTTGCCAACGCAAGCGTGAATGACGTCATTAGGATCTAATTTTGCAACAAGGGGTGGATGGACGGAAATTCTTGAAGTTTTGCATGGATGTTGTGCCACGTCAAATTTCACGAAAAACATAGCGCTTGATTTGATATGCCTTGTAATTGAGATGCACGATAACGTCAAATTCGTGAGGTTGAGATTCGGGGCCGGCTCGAACCTCGCCCACCTACATTAAAATCTACCTAGACCTTACTACAATAAGCCGATGCATATATGCATAACGAACTTGTGAATAACTATCTCTGGACATAAACTAAGAAATATAATACTTGGATATGGAGAAAAATTGCCTAACACAAATTGCCTGGCAAATAAGAATCTTAAAATCGTAATTGCTTTCTACACAGGTTTGTGTAGAAGTGATCATACTTTAGATAATGTTTTTATAATGTACCATAGTTTTTCTTGTAATATCGTAAGATATCTGTTAATATATACAATTAATTGCACGGTTATAATGAAAATCGTTTAAAAATACTCTAGTCACATACTTACGTACGAAATGTGTTTGGATTAATGTTTTCCATAATAATTAAAGTGTTAGGCAGAAGATGACGCATTGCTATTATTCCTTATATCGACTGACAAGCGACTTTATGAACGCCGTTAAGTAAATACGCATTCTTGCCCCTTCTGGAAATCATACATAACAGAGTATTGAGAAACGCATGTGAAAGGTTTAGATTCGGCGAGTTTCTGTGTTTGAATGGTGCCTTGACTTCAGTGAAATTTAATTAGTATTGATTTTGCTTATAGCAAAGATGAAAGTTTTCAATACTTACACCAAAAGAAAGTGAAGTTCAGAAGACTTGTGCTCGAAGAATGAATAAAAATCTCTTTTTCAATGGATAGGATACTGAATAAGCTGCAGAGCCAGTCAGATGTTTTAAATCATGTCCCTGCAGGAAATAGAATTTTGGTACTGCAGTTAGCTTTATAAGAACAGGCTGCCTGGAACTAGGTTGATGATACTTATGCCCGTGTTCAGTCCTTTCAGGAATTTGGGTATGGAGTAAGTTCCTCAACCAGAACATATTTTTGCCTTCATTTCTTGGATTCCAGTCCACAGAACTGAGTTCCAAAAGTGCCTGTGTAAAAAAAATTTCAATACAAATGACATAAGATTATTTTGGTACATTGCTTCAGCCTCCTTGAACATTAAGCAATACATATTTTTGTGTATCCTTTCTTGAAATGCATTAAATTAATGTACGGGGAGGTATGCCTTCCTTGTTTGCCTTTACATCTGTCTACCCACAAGTAACATCATGCAAATTAATCAGTAGGTTTCAGTAACATTTTATAGACTGGGTCTAACCTAAAAGTACAAGACAATTTTTTTTGCATTGATTCAGTATCAAAATGTATCTCAAACAATACTTATCCATTTTCTCAAACATAACTCATCCTACAAGAAATTGGTATATTACATGAATGCCATATCTCATTGATATCTACAGCTTTTGTTTTGGACAGTCTCCTTTGTAATGTATACTTAACTAAATACTAATAAAACATAAATTATCTTTGTCTTACTCTCAGTACAGTGTCATACCTGTGCTACTGACTAGCCTTGCAACAAAATAAATTAATCTCAAGGCCAGTGAGATGCGGCAAACTTCAGATGCATTTAGAATGTATGTGAACTTCACTGGAGTAAACAGAATACACTTTTCCTCTCATTTCATCCATAAAGTTGGATGTTGAACAGATTAAATAAGAACCAAAGTAAAAATTGTAACAAAATTATTTATTTTATACATACTGTAATACAGCAATATAAGAGAGATGGATTATCATTAATTCTAAGAAAAGCAATGGCAATACAAATAAATAATGTTTTGTATATTATATACATAGTGTACACAAATTGAATTGAATAATAATAGAATCTTATCACTGTTTACATATTCCTCTTCAGGGTACCTATTACATATCATACAGTAATATTTCCTTAGCATGAATTTGAAATGTGCTAACAAAGACATATCTACTTATTTAAAAACAAATTTATGGCACAGAATAATATGGAACTCCTGAAATCACATACATTAATCTATTATGGAAATCATACTTATTATACAAATCCATATTGAATTGAACAGTATTTCTTGCTTGTAAATCTTATGTGAAAGCAAGTGATTATAACAGTACTGCTTAAATGGCACTAATGCATAATTTTCACATCAGTATTCTTAGCTCAGAACTACTATTTTCAGTTGACAAATTTTAAACATGTTACATTGTGGAAGCTGTGACATGCTGTTGAGTAGTATCTTGAGAGAAATCGGTTTATATGTAGCACATTTGCAACACGCAGAATGATAATTTTACTTTATCAATTTTTCTTAGAGTCTGACTAGGTTCAAGTTTACAGAGTGAGTTTTGTTGCTTTACTTTTCTGTACTTCACTAATTTGTTGATTTTTCAACAATAGTGTATTAACTACCAATGTGTTATTCCCTCTGATTGTCATCAGTATGAAATATTCTGTTATAGCACTCTGATGCTTTGCGAGAAACCTACATTTTGTAGGAACTTATCACATTCATTTCTTCTGAAAAATTGAAAATTATATCCAAAACAAACAGACCCTAGAACTGACAAGGCTCAACATTGTTATGAAAACATGAAATATAAAATTGTGTTTTCATGTAAGTTAAAACATGAGCAGAAAATTCTTGGTGTAATAGGCTGTTATAGAAATACAGGATTTGTAACTCCATAAGTTTTAACATGAAAACTTCTATAGAAAAGGAATCTCTTTTTATCAGAACTTAATACAAATGACTTGTCAATATATTTTTAACCCCTTGGGATAGAATAATTTGTCACATTTAATCCATGCAAATTGGTAGGCAAGTATTGATTTTTAATGTTGTACCATGAAAATAAATTCAAACATTCAACGTTCAATGTGCTAAAAATAATCTTTTGTCAGTGGATTAATATTTTCTATTTTCAAACTAGTGATTAATACAAATATAATGTCTTTGGATATATGTACTCCTCAATTTATTTAATGTTGAAATCTTTTAATAATGTGTGATGTGAGAAATTTGTACAAAACTGTATTTATGAAACCTGAAAGGAAGAGACCACTTGGGAATCCTAGGTGTAGATTTTAGTAATACTGTGTGATGGTGTGGATTTAACTGGCTAAGGACAGGGTCCTGCAGCAAACTCATGTAAATACAGACATTTCGGTTCCATAGAAGGTGGACAATGTCAGCTTCTGAAGAAAGTCATGCAGTTTCATGTGTACATCATCACTGGCAATGTCTTGTTCTTTCCAATACAAATTCAGGTATGTATTTGAATATGTGGTCGTACTGTTGCGTATGTTTTAAAGAAGTAAATGTTTACAATCCTTCAATACATGAAATGCATTTTAACAAGATGGTTAATCCTCTGCTTTATCTGAACAGCTTTTTAGTGAGAAAAATAAGGAATGCTACTAATTATATACAGAAAATGCCATCATGGTCTCATACTGCTTAGTATCCAATCTACATAGGATGCAACCTTTGTATACACAGCAGGAAATCCTTTGATGCCACAAGATCGTGGTCCAAATGATACGATTCCATACTGAACAAATCGTGGTCTTAACTTGACCTCACCCTTGAAAATAAGGGGTCCTCCACTGTCACCATCACATGAATCTTGAGCATTTACACCACCAGCACAAATCTGATTTGATGTTATCCTAATACGGCGTTTATATGAAGCAGATCTGCTGTCGTAGATACCAGCACATTGCTCCTGTGATATGACAGGCACGGCAACTTGTAGTAGTATAGAACTGGAAATACCTGTAAAGTGCAAATGTTTGGTGCAGATTTTGTTTGTAATTTCTCTTTGACAGTATACTTTTATAAATACTGAGAACATACAAAAGGAAATTTAACTTTCATTAAACGTGTAAAGTAGACAGAGACTCGTTAATGTCAGTGACTTTATATACTTGCACCAAATTTGAATTAAAATTATTTTCAAGTCTTACTCAATAATGACAATTCAAAATTCACACTTCTATTTAAAAAATTAAGTTTTCTCTTCATATTAAGAAATTGTGTGTTATTTATCAAAGTTTCAAAGTATTATAAGGCAAAATTTGGGTGTATGTAAATTGGAAATACAGAATGTTCATAACGTATTATTTTAAACAGTATAGTTCTGTAATTATTTAACCCATTTTGCATCACACACATGAAAATTCTTCAGTAGCTTCACACATAAACTAATTATTAGACTTCCAACACCATTATTAATTTTTAACACCTATTGTATAAGAATTTGGTGACATATCCAGTATTTCAGTCTGACATTTAAAGTTGTGGTACTACACTTTTAACTTAGTCACATGGAGGTTGAGTAGCATCTGTGCTTTCTTCTAACAGACTGGGTCTCAGATATGAAGAGCGTGCGGGGGAGAGTGCCAATTTTTTTTTTTACAAAATAATGACTAACTGAACCTACATTAAAATTAAGAAGAATATGATAATTTCAGCTTTCTTTCATTAATAGATTTTTATTTTTATTTTATGAGAAACATGAATGCCAGTATGTCATGTTATTATGTACTGCAAGAAAATTACCTTTTTCTGTTGCTCCCCATCCTGATACTATCAAGTTCTGTCCATCCAATTTTCGGGTTTGGTCAGCACCCAGTGGAAGACATATTGGTTTTATAGAATCTGTAACACAACTCATACATTTATTCTCGAATTACAAGCAGATCTCTGAGTAGCATTTCTACTCGAGAGCCAGAATGATAATTTTTAAAAAATTTCTTTCATGTGATTATTACATATCAATGGGCTGTTGTGAAAATGGTGATGAGGATACAGTTTTAATAAATATATTTCATGGATTTCAAAATACTTTTTGCAAGCTGAAGAAAGGTTCTGTAGCGTAGAATTAGATAGTCAGTATTGTCAGTTTATTATGTAAGTTACTGAATTGAGTTGCTTTAGTCACTTGATCATTTATGTAGATAATAAATTTTACAGTTACAATAATTGTATAATTAAAGTTTCTACACATGAACATTAGTTTGGTCTTGACCACTCCTGTTAACAAGCATTACAGAATCTTAATTAGGAATAATTACATTTTTAAGATACATTTAAAACATTCTTAGTTTGAAGTTAATTTCAAAGGTTACATGTGAATGCAGAAACGCTTAACTCCTAACATCCATGCCTTTCTTCTACCATTTTATAAATCTGTTGTGCTATTTAAATTATCTACATCTTGATTCTGTCAGCCCTTTATAAACTACGTTAATTATGCTCAGGACAGCGTTTTACTATTTTCTGCTGCGTTAGGAGTGGCAGATCGTCAAAAAAGACGCCCAAGAATCACCTGATCTCAAGTTGGCTATGCCTTTAATCCGGATGAGAGCTATATCATTCTGAAGATGAGAGGTAGAATAATTGGGATGTGCAATAGATTCTTCAATATCAAAGTCCACATGGGGTTCTGCACACACTTCACCTTCTTCTTCGTCTTCTGTGCAGTCAATGTCAGTATCCATGTTGTGTTCACCTAGCCGAACACCAGCTCTAAAACCATCACATTGACACAATGTAAAATGCCTTAAGCTGTCTAGCCTGTTACAAAATATTTCCCAAACCAATTAAAGGATTTTTCCTGAACCTATAAATTAATTTCAGGGATGGTCATAAGTATCCAGGAGTCTTAGACAACACTTTAGAATTCCATTATCTGTCTGTTTGATGGTACACATTGTTTAATGTCTATAGGATCCACCAGTAGCATGAACAAGTTAGGAAATATATGCATAGCATAACATCTGTTGGAATTTGACCTTTGAAGTTTAGCAATTTTAAACATAACAATGTATTGAAAAATTTCAGTAAAGCAGCCCAATATAACATTTTATGAAGAGTCATTTAGCCATTCTGAATGGACAGTTCATAGAGGAAATGAGAAGTGTACACAGTATTTTAATCAGGAAACTTTGAAGCAATAGATAATCTTAGAGTCTAAGGCATAGATGGGAGGATAATATTAATATAAAAATGTAAATTGAACAGGGTTTGTGGCTGTGGACTGGATCCTTCCGGCTCAAGATAGGGTCCAGTGCTGAGCTCTTGTGAACACAGTAATGAACCTTCAGGTGCTATGGAAGACAAGAATTTAACAACCACCTGAGTAACTATTAGCTTCTAAAGAAGGAATCATACGTGGTGTTGTTTAAATAACGTTTACCTAAATGTTAACAATGTTATTTCCTCCACATTAGATTTAATGATTGTATCACCATGACTCCATGTGAAAATTATGTGCACCACATAAAGAGTGGTTTATTTTAAAGTAGCAAAGGCATTATATTGTGCATACTGTCTGTTACATTCCGAGAATTAAGAAATGATAATTGTTATGTTGGACAATACAACATAGTTATGTTACTAGTTCTGGTAAGAACGGATCTTTAACCCTGTATTTTCATTTTTATATGGAATTGTAAGTAAGTCAACGATATTCGTATGTTTTCCCTTTAATAAACTGTCTGAGTTGATCATTAGCTGTAACTGTATTTCAGGTTGTCATAATTTGAGTAGATTAATGGATAAAAGTCCAGAGTTAGGAGTGTGTAATCTGTACTCTTAACCCAACATTGTTAGGATGATCAAATGTGGGATATGAGATGAACGCAGTATGGCATTCACAGAAAACCTCAAAGGAGGAGTTCAATTGGAAGATAACATTAAAACAGAACTTAGAAAAACAGGGTATGAGGGTGTTGAGTGGGTTTAGCTGGCTGAGGAAATCCTATAGTGGGCCTTTTTAAATGGGCTTGGTAATAATCCTTCTGGTTTCTTAACTGTAGAAAGTTTCGTGGCCATCTAAGCAGCTCTCTGTTGTTTAGGGAAGACTTATCGCCGTATTATTAATTAGTCATGGTCTGAATCAGTGGCATACATTTTACAGTTTTACAAATGCATTAATGTTTGTTGTTTGGGCTTATAAGCATATCAGATTTATAGGTTAATAGTTCAGTGAAGAACATAAAAAACTTACAGCTTCATACTGTCTGGTAATTCAGTGATGCAGTGAGCAGCTGTCAGGACATACTTTTCATTGATTACTGTGCCACCACAGTGAAACACTCGTGTGCTGCTTCCCGCTGGAAGGAGAAGCATCTTTATGTTGCGTACTTACAAGAAACTCCAACATTACAATCTACCTTAGTAACAACAAAAGACGTGAGATTGAGAGTTGTATCTGTTTGCGATGTGAACAGCTCAAAGCAGAAACACACACAAAGTGCTAATACCCAAATGTCAACACAGGAAGAGAAGTGATAATTTTTGATTCTGATAGAAATTAATTAAACTTACTTTAAAATAAGGCGTTATTGTGTCATTGTTTGTTTTTTCCTCATTTTAATATACAATTTTAATTTGCTTATTCTTGTTCTTTATATAAAAGTTTTTGGTGTGATATGTCATTGTGTGGTGCCAGAGAAAGAGCCCTGCATATAAATTGTTCATACATTCACACATATATGTTCATATGTGATTATACATATTTTCATACGATAAGTGTAAAATAAATTGCAGTATTATATGATGTTAATTACCCCTGTTGTATGCAATGAGAGCCATCCATGGATACTGGAAAAGTGCCGTCTTGTTCCCATTAATGATCTTATTTTCAGAGACCGGTCCACAGATGTTGAGCGGAAGAAGCATCATGTTTCGATGATTGAACACAGGTGACACTTCCTCAGCGGGCTCACGGCCCGGTGTTGTTGGTGCAGGTGTTGTGGTTGTAGCTGACAGTGGGCAACACACCAGTGGGCTCTTGCCGTTGAACCCACACTGAGAACGTTGTAGGAAGTTGACAACTTCAGGTGGCAAGGGACGCAATTTGGTGAGCATTGACAAGAGATCGGGACATTTCTTCAAGTCGATGCATTCTCCTTGTTCACTGTTTGGTGTTGTACAGCTGCTACTGTCTTCTGCAACGTGCGGATGATATACAGTGTTAATCTTATATAAGGGGCAGGATGTGCAATATTAAGCCACTTCTACTTCAATGCAAGTCTTGTGGTACATATGCTTGTTACGAATGTGCTATCGATGTGGTAATGACAGCATAATAATGATATCTGCTTGGAATAAATGTCACTACCTAATTTAGGAAGAATGAGTCATGGTAGTATATCAGTTACATGCGAATAAAACGTTTTACTGAATTATTATTTGATGAAATAACATGCAGAAAGAAAGAAACAGTGCAGTCTCTAATGGTTTCTGGCAAAGGTGTGTCATTGTTAAAGTGATACATATTCTTGGATATATTCCTTCGTCTATTAATTAAGCTTTTTAAATGAATGAATGAATGAAGGAAAACAGCCAAGAATATTAACCAGTTTCAAGAATTCAGTATTTTTAAAGGAAATTTCTTTGATTTATACGTAAATACCAAATTTCATCAAATCAAAATACGTTTACCCAAACATGCATGCAGCGCAAACACATGAATTTTCGTAATTATCTGACTGTTGTCAATGTTTTAGGTTTTCTCACTCCAGAAACCGGACTTGAGTGTAACCCATGGAAAAGATTAAAGTTCGATTGCGAAGCCCTTCATGATGACATCACGGCAGTCAGTAGGCCATCTGCGTTCAGATGCACATGCGTTTGGGTAAGTAGGTCATTTTGGGCATAATACCAGCAGGGGCAAGGGTTCAGTAAGTGGATGCAGAACATAGAATGTACCGAAACGTATGCTTATTGCTCCAAAATAATGTTAGGAAACATTCTTTTATTTTTATGTAAGACTTGATGCGACAACTCAAACAAATTTTGTCGGGCAATGAGCCGTGTCAGTTGTGAACAAAAATCCAACGTTTATGAGTCCATCTCCGTCTCCATCATCAGGGGAATAGTGGAGGTCGAGATATTCTCCGAAACGCTGGTCTTTCGTCCACAATGGATGGTTGTTGCTCGTGAAGATTTTAATAGGCTATTTTGGATAATGTAAGCTGTGCCGAATGTTGCGAGCATATGGTAATTTATTTGTGGTCGAAATTTGAAGGTTCCTGACGTGTGTTCGTAAAATGAGTAAAATTGTTCTTTTGGACTTAATAAAATCACACCGTTTCGAGAGCTAGATTCTGCATTCATCAGGCATAAGAGTGGGAAAGGAACCTAGTTGGAAGGACGAGCGCTAACCACTCGGCCACAACGTTTGGTGGACACCCTTGGATTTGAAACGAGGTTGTCATGACCCATGTAAAGGCACTACTAACCCGGACAGGTAGAGGGAAACTACGAAATACTCGGACGATAGGCCGGTAACTCAGCAGAAATTCGAACCACCTTGCAAATCTGTAGCGTTACCGCTATAGAAACGTGCTCGGTATTAAGTAGGTAAAAAGAGAAACTGGTGTTATTTATATGGACGTCAGTTGCAGTGTTCTGCGTCCTAGAAGACTGCATTATAGACACCTTTAGGCAACTTGATTTCAGTCAGACTCTTATTATGATACATCGCTGTATTACAATTTCTGACCTCTCTTCCTTTCACACGAATGATTACTTATATTGTTAAATTAATTTTGGATAATTAAAGTAGGTTATAGCTATTTTAGATCGAAATTATGACTCAAAAATAAGGCAACAGTTTCACTATGTGCGTTTCCTTTATACGACATTTTTTCGAGTTTCTAATGGCCCCAAACTAAACTGTTTTTCATGATTATATAAGTACGAAACGCACCCATTTATTGGGCACTTCATGGATGTTTCTAGGCTTTCCCCTCGAGAAAAAGAAATTCAGATAGTCTGTGAGGATTAATTTTTCAGTAAAAAGATACCTGCAGGAACTGATAAACATATGGCCGACTGATCTCCAGTGACGTGACCTTCTGTGTCTGATGAGAATTGTTATTATTACTGTGTGATTACTGAAAGACGATGGCATTTTTATAAACAGGTCCAAACGTTTGCGTTATTATGTAACTTTGCTGCAGGTTTTTGAAGCTGTAATGACCTATTTACGGTACTGCTTGAATTTTTTTTACAAGGAATTGGCAGAAAGTTACGAGAACAGTTAGCGTAGATTGAACCAGATTAGCTTCTGAATGCGATATCCCAACACTCCACCGCGATTTTCGATAAAACGCTGTACCAAAAACAGAATTGAGTATAAGGTACTATATTTTTTTATATTTTAGACAATACTGAATGAAATGCAACAGATCGAAATTGTTATAACACTCCTCAGTAAAATTTTGGATTCATGTTCAACATGTAGGCGTTCTTTGCATTTCTCAGAAAATGGAGCATGTGTCCGTTTATGTGTTTCGTCTGTGAAGTTTAAGATACTTCTTGTCTTAAAGTAGACTACGTTAAACGTTGCATGTAGACTTTAGTTTAGGTTTGATTCAGGATGCATACAACTTGTAGTTCATGAGAAGCTCATATCGAATGTCTCAACAACAAAAAAAGACCACTGTAAAAATAATTCATGTAAATTAGATATTGATCTCACATTTACAGCTGTCGTTGGAAACGTTTTTCGAAATGACCAACATTAAGGGGAACAAAGAAAGCAAGACGGTAATTAATAGCAATGCCTGTAGTGCCCTTAGCTGTGCAACAAATAAACATCAAGGCCAGTGGCTTATTGAAAACAACAAAGAACGCATCCAGACATTTAGGAGTATGCCTTTCCACTTCTGCTTATCTCTTTGCTTTATTTGTTATTTAAAAATCGACCCTGATAATAGCTCACCCTTTTCAGCACCGAATGATAGGATGATTAATGAACTGGAAGGAAGCAGCCATAGCATTTCTTAAAGTGGTATCCCGGAATTTTCCTGGAGGGGCTGGAGGAAATCACGAGAAACCTCAGTTGGAATAAGGTTTCAGGGTCGAGACTTGAACCTGGTACTTCCGGAATACGAAGGAAAGTGCTAATCACGTGACCGCGAAGTTTGGCCCGATTATTATCGAATACAGCAGTCACGTAACTACCTCTTGCACTGCTGAGTGTTCATAAGTAATGGAAGTTTGTGGCTAAAAGATTTGCGAATGGAAACTAGGGCCTTAAGGCCGCGCCTTGTGCAGCGAGAATGTATTTCTTGTTGCCAGGCTTTGGATATTTAACGGAAGCGGTAACCAGTATGACGTAAGCACAAGGTCTTACACCTCAATTTCCGGGAATACAACTCAGATAGCATTTCTGTCCCTGGAAATCCCAGATCTCACACGTGACACTGAGCTTTGTTTGATACGTTCCGCGCAAGCGGTGGTTTATATGAAACCCTACAGGCCAAATTGAAACGTAAAGATGTTATCCTGGTACTTTATTAAGTGTTACGCCATGCAGACGAATGTAGAAGTGGAGGTATAACTTTACGCATTCTTAATCTCGGTACCGGATTAAAGGATACCCTGAAATAGTCCGCGATCTTTTCCTTCACCGTTTGTCATACGATGCTTGATTCTTTTTCAAGTGCACACATTGTGTCCTCTCGAATGGGATTTGAAAATTACTGCATGAAGAACTGAAAGTGGATGGTCGCAGTCTGTTTTAAGGCACTGTCCCACAGAATTCAGATATTCAGGCTAATCGTGATCTGATGCCATTCGACACTAAATATGCTTTGCAGATGGTATAGAGTCGTTCCGACGACTACTCATTTAAAGTATTGATCGACTCAAAACCACGTTCTCTACGAGTGCATGTCATTATCCCATACTGTTATAATTCATGCTCAGATTTCAAGAATGCTTTATATTTAAAGCTTGCATAATAATTACACATTTTTACAAATTCGTGCATAACAAACATAACACTACCAACATAAAAATATTATACAAACCCATAAAAATAAAACCTCATACCTATGATGAACACTATTCGAACTGAAAGAGAATTGGTGAGGACAATCTGGCCAATAGTTGGATCTATAACAAAAATGAAAGAAACGCGGGTTTATTGTTGCCAACAAATCATATGATTACCTTTATTGTTTGTTATTTTTAAAAATAGGAAAACGAATTTTTCATGTTGTACATTTTATAAGAAGATGAATTAAAATGATTACTAGTGAATTCCTACAAATGACTGCGTATAATTTAGTCGGTGCTGGCAATGATGCTGGTCTAAGCCTCTGAAATTTACTTCATCTGAATTTGAATCGATTACGTAAAAGTACCTATTAGTCGAAAGCCAGGCATAAGAAACATCGTAAAATAATTCTACCTCAGTACTGTTTTTTAAATAAAACAACTTGTTCGTTTTTATATAATGAATTTTAAAGCTACATTTTCTTTACAATGTAGGAATATGATAAATTATATTAAAATAATTAGTTCATTGTTACAGTCCAGTACTATTCATTTACCGGACAAATCGATAGTCCAGATATACAATGCGTGACCAAACGTGACAAAGTGTGACTAGTGGTGACCTGATATAAAGGCGTGACGTGAGGTCAGTATAAATGATAAAATAAGACGAAGATTTGAAAAGTGTGTCTAAGCTTCACCAAGCATATTGAAGCGTAACAAAGCGTAACTGGACATGACGTACTGTAACGGAGTGACGAGATGTGACCATAAATGTCGAAACGTGACTAATATTTACAAAGCGTGACGTACCGTAACGGCGTGACGAATTGTGGCCATAAGTGTCAAAACTCCACAAAATTTTTCAAAACGTTACCTAACCTAACAAAACCCACTAAACAAACAACCTAACCTAACCCAACCAAACCTAACTTAACCTAACCCAACCTATCCTAACCTAACCTGTCGTAACTTCATCTAACGAATTACAAACTAACAAAAATTAACCGAGCCGTACGTAATATAACGTAAGCGTGCCGAAACGTGACATAGCGTGACTAAACGTGATCTGCGTTCACGTCGTCAAAGGGTATCACTAAATGTGTCGAAACTTGACGAAGATTTAGAAAGCGTGACTAAACCTGACCAAGCGTGACGTACTCTTAGGGCGTGAAAAATTATGGCCATAAGTGTCAAAACGTCAGAAAAATTTTCAAAACTTTACTTAACCTAACAAAATCCACTAAATAAACAACCTAACCTAACCTAACCTACCCAACGAAACCATACCTAACCTAATCTAACATAGCCCAACCTATCCTAACCTAACCTAATCTGTCGTGAGTTCATCTAACGCATTGCAATTTAGCAAAAATTAACCGAGCAGTTAACCGATTGTTAATTCACATTGTACTAAAACAGTTACCTGAAAAAATATTTTTCGGAGATTATTTACTGCGTAAACGGTAGTGTCGCTACTACCTCGGAAGCCACAGTAGTATAATGATAATAAGGAATTTAAAAGTATTTGAGCCATGTTTCATAAAAATCCGACGGCTAGCTCAAAAGTTGTTCGGGGGTTAGACGTACACGCACGCGGACAAAGTGATAATAAATCGACTTTCTCTATTGTAAAATAAGGAAAACCGGCTGTAAGTCGAGCACTGCTGACCCCCACTGTTTCTAGGAAACCAACATGAAAATCTGCACACACAGACGTTCCGTCGCGCCACTCTTTCGCCTGAGAAAGCTAAGCTCGTCATCTACTCTAGCATTGAACTCTCCACCACTTTCTGATATTAACATTTGTGTGTCGTTTTGTGCAATTTTCACTCATTTAAGTGTTTGTGAGTCATTTGTGAACACCGTTTACATGGAGACAGACAATACTGAAATAAAGGTCGCATTGTGTTCTGAAGGGGGGGGGGGTGCATAACTATCGTTATGTCGTTTGTGTTTAATAATTAAAGTGAATAATGCAAGTACAATTTGTACTTTGTAACTGAATCCAGCTGGCTGCAGCTTATCGTCAGTTGTTGTGATGAAAGATAAAATATTTCACGTGACTAAACGTGATCTGCGTTCACGTCGTCAAAGGGTATCACTAAATGTGTCGAAACTTGACGAAGATTTAGAAAGCGTGACTAAACCTGACCAAGCGTGACGTACTCTTAGGGCGTGAAAAATTATGGCCATAAGTGTCAAAACGTCAGAAAAATTTTCAAAACTTTACTTAACCTAACAAAATCCACTAAATAAACAACCTAACCTAACCTAACCTACCCAACGAAACCATACCTAACCTAATCTAACATAGCCCAACCTATCCTAACCTAACCTAATCTGTCGTGAGTTCATCTAACGCATTGCAATTTAGCAAAAATTAACCGAGCAGTTAACCGATTGTTAATTCACATTGTACTAAAACAGTTACCTGAAAAAATATTTTTCGGAGATTATTTACTGCGTAAACGGTAGTGTCGCTACTACCTCGGAAGCCACAGTAGTATAATGATAATAAGGAATTTAAAAGTATTTGAGCCATGTTTCATAAAAATCCGACGGCTAGCTCAAAAGTTGTTCGGGGGTTAGACGTACACGCACGCGGACAAAGTGATAATAAATCGACTTTCTCTATTGTAAAATAAGGAAAACCGGCTGTAAGTCGAGCACTGCTGACCCCCACTGTTTCTAGGAAACCAACATGAAAATCTGCACACACAGACGTTCCGTCGCGCCACTCTTTCGCCTGAGAAAGCTAAGCTCGTCATCTACTCTAGCATTGAACTCTCCACCACTTTCTGATATTAACATTTGTGTGTCGTTTTGTGCAATTTTCACTCATTTAAGTGTTTGTGAGTCATTTGTGAACACCGTTTACATGGAGACAGACAATACTGAAATAAAGGTCGCATTGTGTTCTGAAGGGGGGGGGGGTGCATAACTATCGTTATGTCGTTTGTGTTTAATAATTAAAGTGAATAATGCAAGTACAATTTGTACTTTGTAACTGAATCCAGCTGGCTGCAGCTTATCGTCAGTTGTTGTGATGAAAGATAAAATATTTCATGCTTCCGGTTGCCATGCTATTATTTCAGACTTTATATACTAATTCGTTAGTTATTTGACAATACGTTTACATCTGCAGAGGCCATGTAACGTCGACTGATATATTTAGATGATCATGAAATGTGAATAGGTAGTTATTATCTTAGCAGTTATCGACAGGGACTGGAGGAGAACTATTAAAATCCTCAGTCAGAGTAGCCGGTCTATGGACTGATATTCGAATCCTGACCCTTTCAAATACGATTCAGGACTGCTGACATTTATATCGACGTTTGCAATGAGAAACGAATGAGAGGTTAAAGGAACGTGTCGACAAAGTGGTGTATGGATTGCTCACTTAATTATAAATATATTGTCGATTTCCTTATTTGAGTGGAATGAAACAATAATTACAATGTCTAACATCCAATTAACAAATTGTCTGAAAAGAATTAAGTTTCAGACTAATTACATATCAGCAGTTCTCATATCTACATACGAGCAAATAGGAGGAAACATTTAGAAATGTTAGTATTTGAGGTTCTGACATCGTTGAGTACGAAGGCGGCTGTCTTCTGGTTTCTAGTGATGATTCATCGCCCTGATGATGGAGCAAGCAAGGACCTCTGAAACGTCGGTGATCTACCATACTGTACAGCATTTTGATTTAGAAACATTCGATTTACTCACGGCTCAATATCAACTGTTAATTCGTAACAAATGATTATCTATTACTGTTAAATAGTTAATAATTTGCCAGTCCTGCTTAAAGCGAAATGACGGTAGTTGCAGTTTGAATTGTGTCGATTAAAATACTAAGATTATGGACCGCTTGGACACCGAAATATCGGATTCGAATCCCTCTCGGGTCATGGGTGTATGTTTGCGTTCTGTCTTAAGTGGCCTTGTGTTAATATTAATAAATAAATTAATAAATGCCTTTCTATGTACCTATCACCTGTCATGAGTCCTAATAAGTATCAAAGTTGTTCATTATTTTAGAATTAATTCTGATTCGAAATAAGTCTGGATGCCTAAAAAGGGGAAGAAGAACCGAAAGAAACAAATGACAGTATCTTGTAATTAATTTCTGGTGAGCTAGTCTAATAGATCAGCAACTGTCCCTGGATACAGAGGAAAATTAATTCACTCTAGAAGCTTCATATTGTCCCTCGGGCCAGACAGCCAACCGTTATGTGAATAACAACTTGCATGTTACGGACTCTTGAAACTAATAACAATTGTTTCTGTAGTCTGACATAGTTTCACCAACTCGTTAATTATACTGCCATACAAACAATATTTGTGCTTTCAGTGTGTACTTACGGGCTGAAGCAGAGGTCAGAATCAAGGTTGTCAACAGTAGCACGTCAGAAATATCCATGTCTCTTGTTGGAACGTCTCTCGCGCTTTCCTGCGTCCGAGTCACTGGAACTCTCTTCTTGAGTTGCAGGTTGGATCTGTCGCAGGAAGCTGGCGCTACTGCGAGATATCTCTCTCTCTCTCTCTGTCTCTCTCTCTCATCTAACTCCTGGTGGAGAAACGTCGAACTTGGTACCGACACAGTACTTTCCAGGTTCACCACCGCATTCACAAAACCTAGTAAAGATCTGTTCTAATATTCTTCCAGATGGTCTCTCCCTTTAGGGTTTTTGCAACCAACATTTTGTATGCCTTCGCTATTTCTCTCAAACGCGCTACATATCAGCTCCTCGAAAAATTTTATTTATTATATCTTAAGACATTGGGTGAAGACATCCTCTTATAATATACGGTGTTGTTGGTTGTGTTTTTAATTGTGAGGTTGTTCTTTTTCAACTGTTGGTACTTACGCTGTCTGGTCTGTTCCAATTTAGAACTAATTATGAATCAAGAATCCTTTGCACTTTGTAGGGCCCCCCTGACAATAGATTGGTCGATGAGTTGATAACATATCCTAACCTAACTTCTCATCTATTTGTAGCTCACATTAGTATTTTGTCGAAATTTGGTAATGTTAATATTGAATATTTTGTTCAGAATTCCAACATGGCCATTGTTATCAGCACAACAATATAATTTTCAGAAATGCCTTGTTTACTGCCCTAATCAACCACTGTTGTGTCAAGGGTACCTATTGGAGGTAAATCCCACTCCTCATCTTTTACTTGGGTCTACCATTGACTTTGTCTTCCAGGGACGCATGCCCCCCTCCCCCCACTGGTCAGTTGTCCAGTTCGTCTGCTGAATTGGTGACCATTGCAATCGCTTCGGGCTGCTTGTTACATTTCGACTGATCGAAACACATTGGTACATTTCTAAAATAATATAAGCTTTTACAGATTAATATTTGAAGTTCTTACCAGACTACACAGCGCTGCAATGTAGAATACAGCTATCTTCAGTATATACCGTGTTTTTATTATGTTGGTTTATTACTGAGGTGAAATTAAAGTGTAACTGAAGATTTCCGTCTTCTGGGTTGTTGCGCTGTGTAGTCTGGTCGATGTTTACCGACGTTTCGGAGGTCATACTGCCTCCGTCATCAGGGCGATGAAACGATGGTTAACATCGACCAGACTACACAGCGCAACAACCCAGAAGACGGATATATTCATACTCACCGCTGTGAAAACCTCAAGTCTTATAAAGTGTAACTCTTTCCATGGTGGGTTTTATGAAAAGGACCCTTTTTCTCTCGGTACGTTTCCGAGGTAAAATACAATTGCTGTTGTTTAAAAGCCGCGAACAAGCTTTAACCGAGACACGGCGTAACTCGAGCCTTTTGCATATTAAGTGATCCTTTGTATAAAGGAAGGAAAGGGGCCAAACAAATTTATGATTTTGGGAGGATGACTATACTTATGCATGTATAGAAATAAACTTTCCTCCTTCGTTTGGGTCTACCACGTAAGGGAAGGGAAGTTTTAGCCTGAACAGGAAATTCACTTACCTTCTGACGATCATTGCTATAACAGTGCCAGTTTCAAAAGTTGTTTTCCTTAATGCTGTGTATAAAAGTAAGACTGAGTGCATTTGTTATCAGACATGTTTGTTGTTTTGTTTTCATGTTTATTACACAAAGCCATGAATTCAATGAAGAACATTACAGATACTCTATACCAATATAAAAAAGGAGGCTGGTATAGAAATAAACATGTAAGAAACTAATTATGAAGAACAGGAACAATTCAGAATGACATTCATTATGACACCGGAAAAGCGGTAGATTTCGTTCAGAGTTGCGTCTACATACCTCAGCCTTGACGCAATGCCAAATGGAGATTAGCGAAGTGGATCTCATTTAAAACTAGAAATCTAATGAGTCTGCAGTGCAGCGGTACTTAACTTCTACGTTTCGTTTACATAACTGGTTACTTAGCTAATTGTTTAGTTAAATAATAAAGTGAATAGTTAAATATTTAGTGTACTATTAATAAGCTAAGTAATTGATTGTATAGTTAATTACCTTGTTGTTTAGTTAGATATGTGGTTAGGTACTTAGTTCATTTGCGTAGTTTTAGTTGAATGTTTTAGTTAGTCCTGAAGATTGAACAGTAGGCCCGAAACTTTTATATCTGCCTACCAGGCCACACTGAGTTACAACCCAGAAGACCAACATCAACATCTTCCCCGCCTTTAGAACCTGAACACCTAAAACTTTTCAAATAAACTTTATAGAAGGTAATTTTTACAGACGTTTCTATCATGTCGTAAGGATATGTGCTTAATCTAAACGAATGAAAATTTAATCAGTCTTATGACTTTTAGGGGAAGCCTCTAGTTTCGTGTTTAATCGATATAATTTCCGCAGGTTTGGAAATAACACATGGACAAACGTGAACTCCCAGTAACGCATTCATTGCTTGGACAGTTTTGGCACAGCATGTAAAATAGGCTTTGACTTGATCTCGAATATGTTATCTGGTCACATTGAAGCTACGTTTCACACGTTTTTTTGCTGTCGTTTGGATTCGCTGTGAGGCTAAGTGGCACGATGCCTCACCCAGTTTCTAGTTCTCCAGTCCGTGGACTGCGGTTATCGGACGTCCCTGAAAGTCCGGTTTCTTGAGTGCCTCGCGGATCGCAAAGAGACGTGGCACCTGGATTGCCGGCACCTCGCCGTGTTTGTGCGCTAGGTTCCCGATAGCTTCGTGAGGTGGAAGATGCCCAACTTCGTTTCGTGCCGTGGACTTGGCAGCAGGACGCAGAACTGTAGGACATCTGCATTCAGAAAGAGTCTTCCTCGAAAAGCTGGCGTTGTTAGACTGGTCCAGAAGCTACCTGCCTTACATTAAATTCGAAGATTCATTGTGTTCACAACATACAGCCAATGGTCTCTGTCCTGAGCCAGATGAATCCAGATGATTTTAAGATGCGTTTTAACATTATCCTCGAATCAGTGTCTGAGCATGCGTAAGTTAACTCTTCAGGTTTCGATCAATTTTTTATGCATGTCACATCCTACCATGTGTGCGACATGTTTCACACATTATTATTATTATTGATTTTAAAGCCCTGTTAATATTTGATAAATAGTTTTGAATGTGAGATTTCGAGTTCTCACAGCGGCAAGTATGATGGCAACTGTCTTCTGGGATGTTGGGCCGTGTAGTCTCGTAGAAATGACCTACTTCTCGGAGGCCATAGCCGTGATGATGGAGGCAGTAAGCACATCTGAAACATCGATACATTTTTACTCATCTGTACTATACAATATCTTAGAAGACAGTCATTTTCAGATCATTTTAAATGTGTCAGAATTTAAATACCCGTGATCGACAATGTCAGATATAACCAAAATATTTCCATGCTACTTTCCATTACTCGAAACAAATTGTCCCAATAAAAGTTTCGTATTTTTAAACACACACCACCTTAAAAAACGGCATGGCATTAACGTATAATAAAACACAAATTGCTCTACATTACTCAGTAGCGTGCTATTCATGCGTGCTTAGTTTGAAGAAGAATTTGTGAATTAGCGTCTGTCGTATTCACATTCGTGACACATCAGTAAAGGAAGAGACGGACAGATGATTTTAGCTGACTGTTGTATCTTCATTATATCCTGTGTCTGAAAGTTGCACGTATATTTCAGCTCGAAGAGTCAACTTCTGTCTATGTTTGGCTTCCTTATATAACACTGTTCAAGGTTAAATGGAAATGAAAGGTCTTACAAGTTGATGTACAAGAAAACTGTTTTATGTGCAGTGTAATTGAGATTTGTACTACAATGCCATCCAGTAAGAAGAACTTTTGTTTTCTAACAGAACGCATATAACATTTTTCAATGCAAGTACCCTCAGACGGCCAGAGGTAATTTACGGTACACATTGGGCTAACTCAGATTGTCTGCATTCAGTGTAAGCGGTACGTACTTCTACGTGAACGTCACTGCAGATTCACGTACCTGTACATGTCCGAAATAAATAAATAACTCGGGAGTTCCAGAACTAACACGTTTAAGTTATGGTTCTTTATTGGGTACTATTTACTAGATTCGTTAAATAATTCCATGGAGCTGAGTCCTTCTTGAGAAGCTGATAGTTGTACACCTTGTCAAGAAATTTGCTGTGTTTTGCATAACCCGAAGGTTCCTTTCAGTATATATTTGAATAGCTGGAGACCTCCAGCCGTAAATGAATTCGTTACTGTTTGTAAACCAGTGAGTAACAGATAATTTTAATGATTTACAAAGAGACATTCCGATATTGCAGAAACAAATTAACGGTGGATACCAAAGGTTAATAGGTTATAAACTATCGCATCTCAGATAAATACAGGATACTAACATTCATTTATAGCCTGTACACTTGGGGGTGGGGAGAGGAACTGTTCATTTGTTTAAGTTGTTTACAAAATGATTTGACAATGTGACTGGAATTAATATATTAAGATGTATCGGAACGCGGTTTTAAAAATGTAGCGTTTGGAGTTATTTATTTTTCTACGTGACAAACCACTACGGGAATTTTCAATTTTTTTTGATTTAATCGTTAAATTATCGGATCTGTCGGAATCAATTGGCCACATGAGAAAAGTTACCAGTACCGTATGGTGTAGTCCATTAGAACGCTGTATTGTCCTTAATAAGACTCATTATGTTACCTTATGATCGGTTAACATTGGGTTTTTTCTGCAACCTACCGACTGAAATTTCATTGGCTCACTGTTTAGTTACCACAGGATGAAAAGGAACACGGAAATCAGTAACAGTGGCGTCAACATCGCGGTCCTTGAAACAAGAACACAAAAATAATGTGCCGTGACTGATTAAAACCCGAGTTCAATGATTGTATTTAGACTGATTTGTTTAGTCTGTTGACAGTCTGAATAATGCAGTGAAACCGATTTTAAATTCGTGCACTAAGCAACACAATTATGGGTTCATCTTTCTGATTTTTATGCCTGTAGATTTAGTCAAATCTATAAAATACTGACGCAAACTACTTACATCATGTGTGGATTCCTTGCCTTCAGTTTACCCTGTAGATTGAATATGTTCGGCTGTGGTCTTCAAAGTGAGGTAGGAGACTGGGCGAATCAATGACTGACCAATTTCTTTCTTCCTGGCGATACAAGAGATGTGAGAAGCCATTTATGACGTAACCGTTTTTTGTAGTGGTGTTACGTATGTCATGTCGAGTGATTTCAATATTGTTACCTCACCGCTAACCTTACAATTTTCTCATAATGATGCAGAAAGTTGTATCGCTTCAAGGTCTGAATTAGCAAGTAGTATATGTCGAAAGCTCATATCGGTAATAAACGATGAATAGAAAGTGTATTTGAATTGTTATTGTGGATTACAAGTGACTCTCGTTATGCACGGGGATTGAGTTATATTTAAAACGCGTAATACGGTAAATAATCTCCATTTGATGTTAGAACGCTGGCCTTGTAATCCTGGGGTCTCGGGTTCGATTCCCGGCGGTGCCCGAATTTATAACTTGTGTTGGGCAAGGCCGTGGTCTAGGCAACACGGAGTTTTCCTCCGTGGCATCCCAACAATTACTCCATTCACACACAGAAGAAGGCAATGGCAAACCACTTCTGGATCATCTGCCAAGAACGTATATGAACAGGTCCCAGTCCGAGAAGAGAAAAGGATGGAAGGATCCTGTTCATATGGACCTGTCGTCAGACAGAAAACTACAAATAAAAAAAATAAAGATTATAGTCTGCATAACATTCCCTGTTAAACCTAGAGAAGATTCGATGCAGGTAATATATAGGATTTTAAATATGGCAGCGGATATACGAAAACTCGGATAGCGAAAGCGTGATTAACGCGCGTATCTCCTGACAATTGGTACCGGTAACTCATTTTTATAGTTATATACGAAAGAAAATTCTGGAGTTGATTCCAATAGTTTGCTGTATTTACAAACTATTACAAATAATTGAGAGCTCTTTGAGTAACGACATCCATTAGTGACAAGGAATGTTACATTTGGACTTTGACGCCAAAAGTTTCTCTGTAACTCTGCATGACTTGTGGATCCTGACAAGACTGACTCATGGCGATTCGCCTTTATTCGTCTGCGGTGATGTTTGAAACTTGCAACAATCCTTGGTAATTTAAATAATTCTCTTAAATATTTTAAATCAAGGAGGAACCTAATACGATTCTAAGGAGTTTTGAATTTCCCTTAGCTGAGGGGACAATAGCAACATTGGCATTAAATAAATGCGATATTTGACAAATCCAATGATCGGCTTAACTGAACACGCAAATGAATATGAGATTTCAGGTTCTCACAAGAGCGAATACGAAGGTTTTCTGGGATGTTGCTCCGTGTAGTCTGATAGAAGTTTGCCGACGTTTCGGAGAACAAAGAAAACATGTATTTAGTTCTCTCTTATTCTTACTCTACAAGTATAGCAGTAGAATTTAAAAAAATACATACTTTTTAGATCACATAACGACGCTTTATCATATTACGAGAATATTTAATGTCGATGAAGGGTGATGGAATGTTCTTATTCAGTGGTGAATCCTAGAATTTCAAAATTGTAAGGACAAATTTTGAACTGTCTTTTCCATTTCGGAAATTATAATATCTATGATCCTAAGCTTAGACGCATGTTGGGTAAGTGGCGATAAAATTCTGGCCTTTATTAGCCACCAACATCGAAAATATTCTTAGCCTTTTGAAGCATGAAATTTATCTAAACAATACTGACAAATCCAGTTCCTTCAGACACGAAAACACATTACGTTTCGAAGATCATTATATTACATCTATTACAAAGATGAAATGGTTAATTATCTTTAGAAAAATGATCGTTTTTTATTCTGAGAATCATATGAAACCCATAACTACATTTGTGAGCTAAACACACAGTTATACTTGTTGCAGCAGGCGGTACAAGAAGGTACCACTTTGCTTTAAAGGGTTATTAATGTCCCTTCATCATGCAGAACAACCGGGAATCAGTGAAATAGCAAACAACGCGTAGGCCTGTAATGTTTTATTACCATTAGAACAGTATTTGATGTTTGGTTGTGATGATTGGCATTCGTGATTTCGCAATTTCGTTGTTTCAACTGTCGATTCATTGTGAATTAGGCTTTCCTTTTATCACCTCCACCGCCACCCCACAGGCACCGTAAAAAGAAAACATAGAAGCAGAGTGTAAGACGTTCAATCGGCAAGCTGGTTCAGGATCCAATCGGTGTAGCGTGACACGCGAGTGTACACCCCGGGCCAGTCCTTCTTGCCGCAGGGATCCGGTCCGTAAGACACGACCCCGGCCAAGAAGTAGCGTGCACTGCCGTCCCGAGACCAGATTCCGGTACTCATGAGTGGTCCACCGCTGTCTCCGGCGCACGAGTCCTTGCCCTCGACACCACCCGCGCACAGCTGACCGTCGCCGATGTTTCGTCTCTTCTCCTGATAGACTTTCCCGCAGTCCTCGTTGCTCACAACGGGTACCCACACCTGTTGCTTCACGTTGCTGGACTTCACTGCGCGCACACAAACAGACGGGGTATGCGGACAGTTAGGAAAGAAAGAAAGAAAGTTAAGAAGCAACGAAAAGAAAGGTAAAATAAAGATGTGCTATTCTCTCGGTGGTCAAGATGTCGATGGTTGTCTTCTGGATTGTGAAGCCATGTGTACATGTAGGCGAATATCGATGTTTCTGAGGAACGTACTGCCTTCATCTTGAGCCCTGAAGATGGAAGCAGTAAGTATCTTTCTCTGAAACGTTAGTACCCATCTGCAAGTCCACACTGCGTCACATTCCACAAGAAACAAGCAGGCCAAGGGAGAAAGTTAGATAAACGAGGAAACAGAAAGAAAAAATAAATACATTTCAAGAAACGAAAGAACCAGACATTTTCGAAACGCCTGTCTAAAGAGGAATAAAAGGGGACCAAAGAGTAACCAAACCACTGAATCCCTTTGTAACCTGTCATTTCTATAGCTTCACTGGAGTCAGCAATGCAGATGCTGTAGTATCGACGCCATGCTGTTTTTTGTGGTACATAATTTACGTGTTCCATTTGCTACTTACTCGTCTCTGTTCTGCCCCACCCGGCGACTACCAGTTCCTCATTCAGGTACTTGTCAGGTGCCGCGTCGTCGAAAGGCAGGCAGATTGGCCTCACAAACTCTGAAACACATGAATTTCAATTAAGACGAATTATACTGATTATTAGGCAGTCACATAATCATTCAGCCAGTCAGGCCGATTGTTACTTAGTCACTAAGGCACAGAGCCAGCCAGTCAATGGGACTGGGTCTTTGTGTTTATCCAAGCAGGTAGAGATACAGCTCCAGACTTGCATTTGGGAGGTCGCTGATTCGAATCTCGGCCAGGTTACGGGTTATCTCTCACTGAAGTTTCTCGTTGCTTTTCTTTGTCTCTCCACTCAAATTCCGGGATAGTATCTTGAAATAGGTCGTGAACACTTCCTTCCGACTCCTAGATCATTCTGTCACATTCATGGTTATCTACCTGTCCCATCCGATCTTACCTATTCTCTGCAATTGAAACAGCGTCGTTAAACATTCTAGTAATCGATAAACAAGACTTAAAACGCCCGCCGAAACTTGCCATTGATCTGCGCGTCTCGGTCCAGTCTGACGAGACCGATGTCGTTGAACTTGTTGTTGGTCCTGGATTCGTAGTTTGGGTTCAAGATGATCCTCTGTACCCCCAAATCCTGTGGGGGCGGGGCGCAGCTCTCCTGGCCAGAGAGTAGGTCCTTTTCGCAGTCCGGGTTCTGCTCCGTGTCGAACTCCCCCAGCCGTACCATCAACCTAAAAAAAATTATATAATTGGTTGCAGAATAACGAGTATGTATATGGATTAGTAAAATAGACATTGGACGTCTTTAGAAACGATGGAGAGTTTAACTGTAAATGCAAAAGCCATTAATTCCTGAATATAGAAGACATCATTTCGATGCACGTAATACGGAAGGCATCAATCATAGGCCTACATCATAATACATGACAACTTCAGAATATCTACTAGAGGAATATTCTAGAACAGTGGTATTCAACCTTTTTTGTTCGCGTACCCCCAGGTATAATTTCTCTTCAACTTTGTACCCCCAAAGATGTTGGTGTATAATTCAAGTTATACATAGTATATAGTCTACATCTAAAATAAATTAAATAAATAAAATTACTGATTATTCAGTGTTTATCATAAAATAATATATATATTTTTTAAAATTTCACGTACCCCCTAAGATGTATTCGCGTACCCCAGGTTGAATACCACTGTTCTAGAGTGTTGCCATTGGTTGTGGATATTTTTCATTCATTTGGGGCTTCATTAATCCTGACACCTATTTTTCTGCAGGGATACAGAGCATCATTTTCAGTTGTTAATATCTAAGCAAAAAGAAGTCTTTGTTTTATTAGAGTTGCTTTACATTTTCTATACTTAAAAGTAAAAAGGAGTAGAGGCGGGGTGTAAAAGTTCCTCCCATTACTTATAAGCAAAAGATTTAAAATGAAAGATAAAGTTGTACCAGTGCTTTATTAAGTACCACGCCATGAATTAATTTATTTATTTAAGGTTTTTTTAACGACTCTGTCTGCACAGTCAAACCACATCATGAGGGCGTGTGGGGAATATAACTTCACGCTCCTACCGCATTTCCCCCTGGTTTCCATTGAATAAAAGACTGGGCGAGCCCCAAACTGAGTTTGAACGTGGTGGAGAAAACACCTTGTCCAGGCCTGACTGACGTTTTAACAATAATTATAGTTGTAAGATTTGAGGTTTTCACAGCGGTGAGTATGAAGATTTCTGTCTTCTGGGTTGTTGCGCTGTGTAGTCTGGTCGATGTTAACCAACG